TCTCTGTCAGTTAAAAAATATTATCTATTTGGTACTGAAAAACAAGAATGGGCCTAAAAAAAACCATGTGTGGAATTGAATTTACAGCTTGTCAAAAACCATTCTGTAATAGAGGATTGGACATCAGTTGTTCAATACAATTCAGCTGAACCCTCTATTTCATATGCAGGTTGTGAGTATTTATCTTGGTTTCGACTAGAAAAGTTTTTAAAGTTATTTTCTGGAAGAATGATGTCTTTAATTGTGAAAAGCTTGTAAGATAGATGATTAATAGCAGATGTCAGTGGATATCCAGGGAGATAAAGTATTACCTTTTTTCCCCTTTTCAAATTCTGGTGCATAAGATAAAAGCCTCTTCCCTCTTCTTTCAGTTTTTGAGATTTCTGCTGATGCCTGGCTTGAAACACTTTACCAGAATAGTGGTGATGTTTTATGTATTTACTTAGCACAATAATACATCTCCTTTCTTCTACCATGAATCTCAAGGTGGCATATACAATTTACCCAGGCTGACTCCCATCCAAGCACTGCCCAGACCTTGCAAGGTGGCTGGCTGCATCTTGTGTTAGGCAAACCCCTATTTGTCTCACAGAGCTACAATATCCAGATCAATCTCTCTTCCTAGGAAACTCTGAAATTTGTAGCTCTGTGAGGGGAATAAGGGTCTCCTAACTATTATTTGCACCCTTAGCAAACTACAGTTCCCAGGATTCTTTGGGGGAAGCCAAGGCTGTTTAAGTGGTATGATACTGCTTTAAATGTATAGTGCAGCAAAACCTCTCTGGACTCTGGAAAGTATTCAGGTTGATACTGCAAACTAGAGGGCACCCTTGATCCACAGAGACCAACCAGCCCTTTTGGTTGAACGCAAGAATCTGCCTTATACGGGGTCAGAACTTTGGTCCATGATCTAATTCAGTATTGTCTCTACACATGGGAGAGACCACTTCACTTTTGGATTAGGATTGGATTAGGATTGGCTGAGTGGTGCAGACGCCTGCCTAGTCAAAGAACAGTAGATTGGCATAAATGTTTGCAGAACTTCTCTGAGTTCAAACAGAAGTATAAAATGTGTGTAGGGAAAGAGTGTGTGGCTTTCAGATTTGGCAGGGGCAGTAATTGCTTGTCATTCTCTATGGGAAGGCTGTGCCCCAGTAGGATCAGGGAACCAGCCTCCACTGACCTCATAAGAGGGAAGGCACCAGAGACAGACAGCTGGAGGTCTTTGTTCCAAATCTACTCTGGCATCTTACAGTTCTGGATTTTCACAGATGCATGCCAAAGAGGCTCAAATGCACTTCAAGTGTGAAACTGACCTACACATAACTAATAAAGGGGAAAGTAAAAGAGGGAGCACCGTGGTAGTGGTGGTGGTAGAGTCCTCCTATGGGGCCTGCCCTACCATTGCTGAGGAGAGACCAGTATCCTCCTTTCTTTCTTGCCCTCACCTCAGTCTCATCAAAGCACTGGTGGTGGAAATGAGACCTGAAGGGACAACATTTTATGAAAATGATGAGGTCCCAACTTGGGGGCAGGAGGGAGAGAATAAACAACTCTCTCAACTTGGAAAAAATAAAAAATATAACCCCACAGAACAACAGATAATCAAGAACCCCTTCTATTTTTAAAAAAACATTTCTCTTCCTTGTCACCCTAGCGACATTGCTTGCAGTCACCATGGAAACCCAAGGCACTAGTGGGGTGGCGGGTTGGGTGGGGGCATCACAGGGAGAGAGACAGTAGAAGCATCTTGGATTATTTTAGGAGGCAGGGAGACACCTGGAGCGAGGCTTTTCAAGCTTATTTTGCAGCAGAGAAGGAGGTGGGGGGGATGAGGTTTATTTTTACTTGTTCCCACTTCATGTGCCAACTTTTTCTTTTTCAGTTATTCCAGATTTGGAAGCCTCTTCCCCCTTCTTTCAAGCCTCTCCTCACCCACATCCTCCCTCAACCATTTTGATGGCACATGGATGTCACATTCTGAGCATTCTCATTGCTCATTCCCCAGCTACTTCCTCTGCATAAGGCCTCTCAGCCTGACAAAAAGGGCTGTGAAAGAGAAGCTCTCCTGAGGGGATTGTTTGCATGGTGTGCTTCAAAGGCACTTATATGTGTGTGCCCTTTCACCTCATGCTGTTCTGCTGCACACTTGTCTGGATCAAATTGCAGCTAGCAGCTGCAGGACTCTGTAGCATGTATTGCCAGATTTACGTATAGCTTAGGGTCCCACTCTCTTGCGCGCCCCCCAAAAATTTAAAGGAAAAACAACAACTGGATGTACATTTCCAAAATATAAGATAAAAAACAAATAAAACCTACATGCAGCAACAGTGTTTTGTGTTGTGTAGCCTCCTGTGATGTAAGTAATAGGCCCCTCCCATTTCACTATTAATATACTTCTTCTTAATTGAATTTCAGTTCAACAATTACTTTGAAAAATACATATTTTGTTATGTGCAAATGCCTTTAGATACCTATTAGGTCCATACATTACTATATAGCATATATTCAACACAAAAAACAGTGACAATTTGTTGTTGACAAAGGACAGCCGTATATAAAGGGCCCCATGACCTTCAGTAGCTTAGGGCCTCATCAAACCTAAATCTGGCCCTGGTAGCATGCAGTTACTCAGGTTTGCCCAACCACCACCACCCCAGCACAGATCACATTGTATGTCCATCAGGAGCATGACAAGTAAAGTTTGGCCTGACATGGAGATGTGGTGATGGAGGAAGTGTAATCGGCTGAGTGTTTGCTTGAGGAACTTGAGGAAGCAATAATGGTGTGTGGAGCCATGAAGTCTGCCAAAGGAGAAGCCAAAGATAAAGCAGGATTGAAACATAAACATGAAACATGGCCTAAGGTTGCAGCGGGGAGCGTGTGACCCTCCAGGTATTGTTGGACTACAATTCCCATCATTCCCGTTTGATTGACTGTGCTGGATGGGACTCATGGGAGTTAGACTCCAGCAATGAGCGGAGAACCACAAGTTCCCCATCCTGACTTAAGATATGCCTCCATAACTTGTAATCCACCAAGCCAAACTGCCTACCTATGACGCACTGTGGCCTACAGGTGCTACAGAAAGTTACCTTGTACTAAGTCAGTCCATAGGCTCATCTAGTTTAGTACAGTGGTGCCCCGCAAGACGAATGCCTCGCAAGACGGAAAACCCGCTAGACGAAAGGGTTTTCCGTTTTTGAGTTGCTTCGCAGGACGAATTTCCCTATGGGCTTGCTTCGCAAGACGAAAATGTCTTGCGAGTCTTGAGGTTTTTTTTTCGCCCCCCCCCCCCCTTATCTAAGCCACTAAGCCTTTAATAGCCTTTTAGCAGCTAGTCCGCTAAGCTGATAAGCCTTTAATAGCCGCTAAACCGCTAACAGCGCTAATCCGTTAAGCCACTAATAGGGTTGCTTCGCAAGACGAAAAAACCGCTAGACGAAGACACTCGCGGAACGGATTAATTTCGTCTTGCGAGGCACCACTGTACTTTCGGTGCAGATTGGCAGCAGTTCTTCAGGGTTACAGACAGGGGTCTCTCTCAGCCTTTTTGAATTCTCTCTTCTTTTTTTCACATCCGTTATTGCCTGCTTGCATTTCTTTAGCAAAAACTGTGTTCTGTTTTTGTTTTTCCTCATACGGATGAGACTTCAATTTTCTGAAGGAAGCCTTTTTGTCCCTAATAACTCTGCTTTTACACCACACTGGTATCCTCTTAGTCTTGGTTTGTGATTTCTGATTTGTGGTATATATTCTTAGGTGAACTTCTATTACTGTGGTTTTGAATAACCCCCAAGCAGAGATTTGACCCATTTCACAGTTACATATGACACCAGGTCTTAGGAACTAATGCACAGGAACCACCAGGGCAGCAGGACCCATCACCACAGGTATAGGGACCCTGTGTCCAAGAACATGACGGGCTCTGAGGCGTAGGGAGCAGCAGGGGGTGCACTGTAAGAGGCTGAGGCAGGCAAGGGCCCACAGCCCAGCTCCCTAGCTGGCCAGGTCAGGTTCGCTAGCTCTAGGAGGAGGTGTGTGTTTCCTCAGCTGGAGAAGGCTTAGAGCAGGTGAGGGTCAAGCGCAGATGCTGCAATCAGCAGGCAAAGTACAAAAGGGAAGCAGAGCTGAGGGGCTGTGCCTCCTCAACTGCCCAGGTTGGTGGATCTTGACTTGGATGCTCCTGGAACTCTATGGGACTGTGCTTCCGTTTTGACTCTGGACTGTATCCTGACTGCTGGACTTCAGACTTGGCCTACTTGGATTGACCCTGGGTTGTAATTCCTGACCTTTGGACCTTTGGACTTTGTTTGCGTGGAGTGACCCCTGGTCTTTGAACTTTTGACTTGTCGCCAGGTAGGCCAGGAGTTCAGGACACTTAGACTGAAACAAATCCGCCATTTGAATGCCTGCTCATCCAATGAGCATTTGTTCTGAATCTTTTACAACCCAGAATTCACTGGATGATCCTGGGTTCAAACATGTGGGACAGAATCAATATGAATTCTAGAATTGACAGTTTTACTTATAAAAACCATGTGTTTCCCTTCTTCATTTTTTAAAAGTCTATCCAAGGTGCAGAAACATCTAGTTATGACATTGTAAAGAGTACATACACATTGACAGTTTAATGGTACCTTTTTGGAGCTTGGTAAGGGTTCCTTGACCCCCGTTTAAAACTGGGAACTGTTTTAAACTCCCCTTCAGTTTCCTAGTTTAGTGTTGTGTGTGTGTGTGTGTGTGTGTGTGTGTTTGACTGCCCACATGGTTCCAGCACTTTCAAGAGGCTCTGTGGTTGTGTGTCATACTCCTTCACACTCATTTGTGCTCCTGGAAAAGCTGTGGGGGTGGGAGGAGGAATACATGTGCAGGCTGCAAAACAGGGGGAAGGTATATGAGTCCTAATAATGGACTCACCCTAGGAGGCAGCTCAGAAGGGAACTTTGGCTGTCGCAGAGTCAGACTCTATTGTGTTGCCATGACGCCAGTGTGGCTTAACTCATCTCATGGAGCCAGTAGGACATCTCTTATTGACGAGGCCCAAGTCATGATGACCACGGGCACCTCAGTTAAAGCTACCAAGCTTGACTGGCCCTGTTCTAGAAGGTTCTACCTATTTACTCAGTCATAGTAAATGCCTGGAAGTAAGGCCTAGTGCTAGCATTCCAAATGAGATTTATTTCCCCATCTTTGGGTGGTGGAGAGGAGGGCGATATTAATGTACATACGTGAATGTGTGCGCATGCCAACAGGCGAACAAACGTGAAGCAGGCAGTGAGAGACTGAGAGAACTCATGTTCAGGTTTCCCCAGAGCTAAGAATAAAGTGGGTGACACACCCGTCCTATCTGAAGGCTCGGTTCACTGGTGTGATAACACATGTGAAGGAGTGGGGCGGAGGGGTCGTGGCAAGTCCCTCACGCTCTGGAACATCCCATTTCCCTTCCATAGACAAGTTGAAGGGCAGACATCTGAAGCGAAGAGCCTCAGCGAGTGCAAGTTGCTTGTTAAGGAACCTCATGTTCTTGTGGGGGGCTCCATGCGCAGTTTAGAGCCCTGGTCATTGCTCCACAAGAATAGGAGGGAAGCTTCCAGTTTGATAACCTTGCCCTTTAACTTGGAAGAGGGCTGTAAAAGACAGAAGGGGACACATTTCAGCAAGGTGGGAGCTGCACTGTGGACAAGCCATGACATTGGCCATCCTGAAACAAAGGCTCACTGAGGAGAAACTCACAAGTGAAACTGCTGAATAGAAACTTAGCAAAAAGGTCTGCTCTTTAAATTTGGGTTGGAATAGAAACAATGGATTCCACTATAGGTGTTAATTTATTCAGCTACAATAAGACAATTTTGTTCTCACCAATTACTGCTGCTGTGGTAATTTTCCATATATTTTTATTCTAACTCAATTGCCAGAGACTGTTTACTTTCTGCATTCCATTTCCATTTAACTCTTTTACATTTGGTTACATTTCCCCGCTTTGCATGTGTGTGTCTGACAACCGAGGTTCATACTCCATGCATCTGGGCTCTAGTCAGTGAAAGTTGATGCCATTATAAACAAGTTGCCAGTTTATAAGGTGCCACAAAAGTCTTTTACGTCCCCAAAGCGACTTGAGCAAGGGGGAAAGGCCTGGCAGAAATACTTCCTGACAACAAAAACTGGAACATAGTGAAGGAAAGCCAATTAAAATGAAGAAAGCAACCTGTGACCCTGGTCCTACAAATCTCTTTGCAGACTAAATAGGTCTGCAAAAGAACACTGAGGGTTTGGCGACACTACTTTGCGTTGGGGCCCTGAGTAAGAAATACATATTTTAATGGAATCTGGAGCAAGTCACATTAATTTCCCCCTCAAGCTGGCAAAGGGGTGTCTTCCCCTCTTAACTGTCTTTTCCTCTTTAACGACATTCTAGGTTGTAACTTGAGAAGTTGGAAGGATGCAGGAGAAAGTTTAACTCGGCCTAGTTGCCCCCGCCTCCTTCTCCACCCTCAGTACAAACAGCATCCACGCCACGTCACCCAGTGCCTGTGCTGGGACTGCAAAGCTTTGGCTGTGATGTTCTTCCACTCCTCTGTCAGAGGGAGCAGAACGACTTAGGAGGAGAGCCAGCGAACCAAAGACTTCCCTACAGACAAAGTGATCAAGAGGGAAAAGCAGAAGCGCACCAAAAGTTCAAATTCTAAGCTCATTGCAGAATCCTGGTGAAGACAAAGATAGGCAGTGTGAGTGTAATCCTTCCAAGAGAGGGAAAGGCTTAGCAGAGTATTCAATTGGAACAGAAAGGAATCATTTGGCTGCTGAAGAAAAAGGAAGAGAAACACCCTTTATCCAAGTGAGGAACCAGAAAGCATCTACTAAGAAAAGCAAAGAGGCCTGCTGTAGGGCCACAATCCTTATCGGGATATTAAACTAGCTGGTTTTCCTTCAGGACTCTCTGGGACATTCTTTGGCCAGCATGAACATATTTCGGATCCTGGGTGATGTCTCTCACCTGTTAGCCATGATCATGTTGCTGGGGAAGATCTGGAGATCAAAGTCATGCGCTGGTAAGTTCTTGTTCTCTCTTCCCTCTTCATCCCGTTGACAAGGTGCTGGTGCAGAAACAATGCAGAAGGAAAAGAAGGGAGCAGACAAAGCTTCTGGGAGTAACTTGTCACCAGAGCACAAACTGCCCCAGAGAGTGAGGATTTGGGTTTGGCCTCAGCCTGCGTGGATCACGCATCTTTTCCTAAGGTGTGTTCACATTATCATTTTCAAGCACAGTGAATTTGTTATCTCACCCCTGCATTTCACAACTCTTTCCCCTCTAGCTGTTCAGATCAGCACGACTTCAATAGTGTCAGATTTGTTGGTGTACACACCAGGGAGCACGGATGGGGCACCCTATGCAAAGGTGCTCACACATTTGCTAGAGATAAATTAGGAATGGCTTAAGGACTCAAATTGGACTGAGTAATAGCACATCCAACAGTAGTATTTTGCAAGGAAGTATGGAATGCATATGCATTTTGGGGAACTGCTGTGTGAACACAGATTTAAAAAACAGCACTGGAAACACTGTGAGTGCACAGTAAGTGGGAGTATGACCACTTGCCTAAGAAGCTGGATGTTTTAAGTCTTTCCCAGTAGTTTTGTAGGACAATGCAGCATAAATGAATTAACATGGAATATTGATAGGAAATAAGAGAACCAGCTATTAAAGCAAATAGCACTTGATAACTCACTGAGGTCAACACTTTCCCCATGTCTCATGCTAGACACCTGTCCATTGTATTGACAGGCAACCCTGCCTAGATGAGGTCATTTCAATGTCACGTAGAGATGCTCCTACAATATCTCTTTATGCAATTTTCAGTCACCATTGTTTTCTGCAAATTTTGAGATTTGTAGCCACTTGTGTGGGTTCCTTCTGGGCCTTCTCGCCAACTAAAACACGTTTTGTAAACCTGAGCAAACTAAATGCCTTGGGGTGTGTGTTTGTGAGTAAGACAGGAATCCTTCCGCATTTCAGACAGAATATTTCCCCAGGGCAGAAGGGTGGGGGTGAGGGCTGGGAAGCACAATACAGCTGGGGAAACCTCTGCCAAGGATTTAAGTAAACTGGTAAAGAACAAAGGAACCTGATCGACAGGGAACAGAGAAATGGATTGCCCAGGACAATGACTAGTCCTTTCACTCCCACACAGCACTCTTAAGTAAGTCTGCAATCCTATGGATATTTACTTCGAGGTAAGCATAGGATACTTTTGAAAAAACGTATATAGGACTGTGCTGTGCGGAACTGAAAATGTGAAACAGCACTGCATGAAATGCAGAAAAACCAAAAGTGCCGTTTAGGAGGTGCATTTATGAACCCTCACCCATGTCTCCTATATATCTAATCTCCCAAGTTCTGGTGTTAAAAAGCAGCCACAACAAATGGTCTTCATATACACTGCTTGTTCTCAATTTAATCTTGATTGTGAACTACAACGGGCCTTTTAATCTTCTTCCCCCACCACCTCAAAGCCTGACTGTGTTCATAGAGAAAGTTTTTGAGTCCCAGAGTGTATGCTGCTAACTCCTTTTACTTTCTTGATTTCCCCTCTCCCCACTCCTCTTCTGCGGCAGTATTTCCATGGCCTCTTGTTAAAACTTCTCCTTCCATTCCTAGTTTCCTCCTTTCAAGCCCTTCCCACTCCATTAAACTCCCCCTCCCCCTTACGCTCTTTGTGGGTGGAATCAAGATTTGTTTAAGAAGGAGTAGTGTTGTGATGTGGCAGTTGAAGTGGTATAGGCATATCACAGTCCCTGGTGTGGTGTATGTCTCCATTGACATATATCTTAGGGTATAGAGACTGTTTAAGTTTGTAGCAGGAGGAGGAATGAACTTGTGGAATTGAGTTTCATTCTGTACGTTCAGCATAATTTCTGTGCTTCCTGCCTTTTTGCACTATCCCATTGAGGCTGAAAAACAAGACGTATAGGAGCATCACTGTAAAAGGAAACTGCAGGGCCACGTCTTGCGTTGCTGATTAAACAGTGAGACAGGAATACTTGTCTTTGGTCTCTTTCACCTGAAGATGCCGATGACTGTTAAATGTTTGCAACTGCCCACAACATTTATCCAATAAACAGCATAATTTTACTTTCTCGTTTTACTTCCTTGAAAGAAATAATGACAGAGGAGTGGAAAACTTTTGCTGAGTAGAGGGGAATTAACTGTGCACAGTTGAAAACGCTGGCAGCATTAAGATAAATTCAACAGTTTAATATTTGAGTGATGTAAGGATGGGAAAAGTGACTTAAAATGGTTATAGTAAAATATGCAGGAATGATAGACAACTAAAATGAACCATGGAAGGGGAAGGAGGGAAGTCATTGATTATATGATATTGTGCAAAATGTTTATTTTGAGATGTTAAACTATTCAAAAAAAGAAAAGGAAAGAATTATAGGCAGCTCTTTTGTGTTGCAAAAAACAATGAAGAGTCTTCAGCACCTCAAAGCAGGGATGGGCAGCCTTTTTTCTACTAAAGTCCACCTTACCTCAGGACCCTTTAAGCCGACATCTTTTTCGTTGGATATTCATGCTGATTTGTGTTCATGATGGTATTGGGGCATTTATACGCAGCTGTGCTTTGAATACTGTTTGTGTCTTCCAAAGTTTTGGGGTGGACACAGTACTTCGTTTCCAATCAGTGCATCACCCATACATAGACAGCTTCACACCATGGCAGTTGTGTCTGGCTTTCGTTGTGCTATAGTGCAAGATGGCAATAATGCCACCAACCTGTAAACCAACGATGGCTCCCTAATCTACTTTTCTAGCTTTGATCTTCCAATCTGTTTAATCTCGTTTCTCTGCATTCGGGAACTTGTTGCACTCTCAACACAGAAGAGGCTGCCCCAGTGAATATTGCCATTTGAACTGTTCAAGGTCGATCAGTATGGAAAGTGTTGAGGGCAGCAAAATGACTGAGCAAGGATTGAGAATGGTCTCTTAGTTTGGCAAGATACATTGATGGGAGCAGTTTGAATAAATCCAAATTTTTGTGGGGGGGGGGGGAGACAGCCATGCTGGCCCAAATTGCAAATACCCCTACCTCAAGTGACATGCCACATGTGTAGCATGGAAAAACCAAGCACTTACAATTGCACACAATGCAATATTTGTCTTTTTGGCTGGGTGGGAAGAGGGTGATCTGAAAGCATGGGATACATCAGTCCCTTGTCATGGTCAGAGGACTTCTTGTTGAGCTTTAGGCTTTCAGGACCTTTCCCCCTCTGCAGAGAAGGGGAGACCTTTTAGGATGGTCTGCCCTTGGAGGTTGATGGATCCAAGTGGATTCCAGATGGTGGGGGGCAGGTTGGCTGTTATGACTGGCACTCCTGTTAAATATCTGGATGGCTTGGGCCATTGACACAATAGCTCCCGAGTGCTTCGTGGAGCCTGTTTGGCTCTGTGGTATACTACTGAACATAGGGCAAAGAAGCAATATGGGAGATGGCTTGAACACAAGTGGAGGGAAACTCCAGACAAAGACAACTGAACACTGGTCAGTGCACATTTTTTTAGCTTACTCAGTGGCAGAGAAGGCGGGTAATAAGACATACTTGCTACCTCCACTTCATCCTCACTATGCTATCTGGCAGAGCTTTTCTGGTTACTGTGGGGCCTTTTGCAGACTGGCGCCAAAGAGGCAGTAGAACCTATGGTAGCTCGCTGTGACTTGTTTGCCAAGCATTTTGAGGATAAAACTACTTTCCTCCGTCAGCACCTTAACTCTGCTGCTATAGCAGAATCTTGAGAGAGGTCCAGAACATTGTCGAAAACATTCCTCTTTATCCAGGCCTTTGACCATTAGGTAATCTATGGCTTGTTAAAGGTGTGGGAGGGGACTGTTGTTGCTGTGCATTGTCGTTTCTATTGTGCTGCACAAATTATGTTCTTAATGTCATACACTGCCCTAGGATCTTTGGCTAAAGGGTGGTATATATGGTAAATTTAATAAATAATACTAGTGTGTTCGCTAGCAGCGCTAGGGCTGAGAGGGTTAGCAGCAGCAGTCTGTGAATCTTGCTCTGGCTTCCTCACTTTCCTCCCTGCTGCCCCCCCTCCCACTTTGCTGCCTTTCTTTGAGCTCTACGTAAGGGAATATTGTAGAGAAAAACCTACAAACAAAATCCAGATGGTAGCCATGTTAGTCCCTTACAGAAAAAAAGTGTCTTGTGGCATCTTAAACGGTAACAGGCTTCTTGTGGCCTCCAGCTGTACAATAAATCTGTTAGTTTTCAAAGTACCATAAGGATATTTTTGTGTTTCCATGAACAAAAACTGCTGCCACACCCCCTTGTTTTCTTTTCATTACCATTTATTTTCTACACTCATTTTGTTATTTGCCTGAAGTTTCCAGACAATATACTGTAGGTCAACTTGTCTTTCAGAAAAGAGAGGCAACACTGCTCACATCCACACCACACATTTAAAGCACATGGCTTCCCCCAAAGAATCCTGTAGTCTACCCCTATAATTGTTAACATCCTTAACAAACCACTGTGTTTATGCTGCTTTTCTGTGTTGGGCATCAATACAATGATGGTGCGTGGGTTATCTTTCTTCCCACCCTGGATCCTGGGAAGTCATCCACAGGTTCTCCAGTTCACTTGGCAGTGGAGCTGGCTTGAGTGTTGAAGCTGAAACAGCACCCTTTTGTTCTCTGACTGTGCCTCTTCACTTGGCAGAAGGGTGATCCTCTCCAGGCTGTGTTTGTGCTGCCAGAGGATTCAAGTCCGCCTCTGTGGGGAACTCTGAAGTTTGTGGCTTGTGGGGTTAGTTGCTACCTTCCTTACCCAACTAAGGACTTTGCTTATTTATTATGCCAGTGCCAAAGGCCCAGGCATTTCTCCCGGCTTCTTTATTTTCATCATCTGCTCATTTAATTTCCTTTTTTGGCCCTCAGGTATCTCGGGAAAGAGCCAGATCCTTTTTGCACTTGTCTTCACAAGCCGTTACCTTGACCTGGTCACAAACTTCATCTCCATCTATAATACTGTCATGAAGGTAAGGGCAAGAGTTCAAGTGCTCTCCATCTAGTCAGTCTGAGATAGGAACAATTCTGGTATGTCCTGATTTATAACTTTTAAAAAGGGCCATTTTCAGTGGAGGTAGAGGGTTTTCTATTAACATTTTTCTGAAAGAATTTCAATTACAGTGGTACCTCGGGTTAAGAACTTAATTCATTCTGGAGGTCTGTTCTTAACCTGAAGCACCACTTTAGCTAATGGGGCCTCTTGCTGCTGCCGCGCCGCCGGAGCACGATTTCTGTTCTTATCCTGAAGCAAAGTTCTTAACCCAAGGTAATATTTCTGGGTTGTCAGAGTCTGTAACCTGAAGCGTATGTAACCCGAGGTACCACTGTATAAAGAAAAAAAGTGATACAATCACTCAGCACCTTGCTTCATTGAGATTGAACAAGGCAGTCCATTCCCATCCCAAAGCCACAATGAACTGGTTTACGAACGGAGAGCAACAGTGCTCAGGGCTCTAATAGAATAGTGCCAGTGCACACTAGGTTTTTGTTGTACTGGGGAGGGAAAGCAGACTGTGTCAGAGAAAGACGACATTTTAAATATGTGCAGTGCAGCCAAGCCTCTTCCCTGTTTCCCCATTGCTTAATCTAGAGCAGAGTGGTAATGACCCAGTGAGTCTGATTGGAACAAGGTGCACCAATTCTGAGGCTTGTAAAGCCACTCTTACAGCAGGTTAAGCAAGGGTGGCTAGGGAAGAACAAGAGATGTAGTTAATGGGCTGTGTGTGTGTGTGTGTGTGTGTGTGTGTGTGTGTGCGCATGCATAAAAAATACATGCTGCTGCTTATCATCTTAAGAGTGCATTAAAGGTGCCAAACCAGAGTACCTTAGGCGAAATATAAGGTAATGACAACAAATTGAATCTTGTCTGCAATCAGCCAAAGAACAGCCAGCAAACACTTAGGTTAGTGGGTTCTAGCAAAGACATGGCTCTAAAAGTTTGAGCAGACCAATCAGATTTCCACTATGAGAAAGTAAGTTGATTTTTGTATTCCTCTGCAGGTTGTTTTCTTAAGTTGTGCCTACTTTACCGTGTACCTGATCTATGGGAAATTCCGGAAAACCTTTGATAGTGAGAATGACTCTTTCCGCCTCGAATTCCTTTTAGTTCCAGTTACAGGCCTGTCATTTTTAGAAAACCACAGTTTCACCCCATTAGAGGTAAGAAAGCCATTCATATTAAGTGGAAGAAGGTAGTAATTGCATCAAGTTTCCTTGAACCTTTGGTGTCTGGAACTGAACTTTCTTTTGCCCAATGATGAAAGGTAAAGGTGGCCAAAAATAAAATTGTCATGTTTTTCTCTGGACTGATTCATGCATTACTAACATTTAACGTGGACTTCCCTTTATTCTTTCCTTAGATTCTCTGGACTTTCTCAATTTACCTGGAATCAGTGGCTATCCTCCCACAACTTTTCATGATTAGCAAAACAGGTGAAGCTGAAACTATCACAACACACTACCTTTTCTTCTTGGGCCTCTATCGCGCTCTCTACCTTGCAAACTGGATCTGGCGCTACCACACAGAGAACTTCTACGATCAAATTGCTGTGGTGTCTGGAGTAGTACAGACCATCTTCTACTGCGACTTTTTTTACCTCTATGTCACGAAAGGTAAGGATCACATAATGCTGGCTAGTCAGTGGCTGAAACCGACCACAGTTGTGGCAGAGATTAGGCAGGTCAGCTATAGCTCTGCTCTCCCCACACCCCCCTTTCCACAGAACCTGTTGGCTTTTCTTTTCCACCCCAAACATTTAACAGTGGTTATCTGAAAGACCACCTGATCCTGTACAGATGGGCAAGAGCACCTAGGTCATATAGGAAAATTCTGATTGCGGTACTGCTGCTTGCAGAGTATCATGGGACAGTGAGCTGAAAATTGGCGTTCAAAAATGCAGCTTTGCACATTCTCCAGCAGGAGGGCCCCCAGCAGTAAAAAACTCTCAGAATTAAGCAGCAGTGTACGCCATTTGTAAAGCATCAGCCATCGGCTACTTTCCAAAATCTTGAAAAGACTTCCCTCCATGACCCATAAGAGAGGGCCATTTTATGTGTTTGAAGCCTCTGAATTTTTTTTACATGTTTTTTTTTCTGCTTTCTGTGTATTGAGTTATTTTTAAAAAATACTATTTTTATATTGTATACTGCTTAAGAGATTTTTAAAACGTTGAGTGGCTGATCAATGCTTTTAAATAAATAAATTACATGAAATATTAAACACTTAAACCCAACTCAGAAGCTACCAAGCATATAAGACAATTTCTACATTGCTATAGGAGTAGCATGCTCTGCGTGTTAAAGCAGTGCGAGGAAGCCTCTTGAGGGTGGGGAGTCATCTCAGATTACCAATACTGTAAACTATGCAAAACACTCCAAAAATTATTGAGTATTTTAACGTAGGACTATTTTAATTATCATTCAGCCTGTTATTAACTGCTTCACAGGTCATGAAACTCTAAGGCACTGTGACTGTAACATGTGCAGGGTTTCTTGCTGCTATTAGTAACAAAGATTTGTTGTACACAGGTGACAAGAGTTTATGGAATCTCATCTTAAAGGGGTTGCCTGCAAAACGCTTATTGCTATGTTGGGGGGTTTTGTAATTCACGAGCTTAAAGCACCATTAAAAATGGCAGTATGAATGCATTTGGTAGAGGCAAGGTGGCATTCCTTTCTGTCAGAACAAACAGTTTAAGTCTTAATTCATTTTCCCCATTTAGTATTAAAAGGCAAGAAGCTGAGCCTCCCAATGCCTATCTGAAGACACACACAAGCGAAGCAAGTTCCTGAAGACCCTGCTCCAGGACTGGAGGATGTCCTCTTCCGCTTTTTTCCCATATGGCTCAGCTCGCATTCAGAGAACTTACCTGCTTCTCTACACTGTGACTAGCAGACTGTGCCCGAGAGATTTGAGGTCCAGGTGGCTAACACTTTAGGCTTAACACTTTCTAATTTAGTGTTGGAACAGTATCTACGTTTTCTTTTGTATGGGGATGTTTGTTGGTGTTTGAACTGTGCCTATAACAAATAAAATAGTGTGAAGTATCTCTTGGTATATTTTTCTCACAATTATCTCTATTTCTCTCTCAAATATGACTATCAAATCTCTTTTCCAGGCTAAACATTCCCAACTTACTTAACCATTCCTCATAAGGCTCTGCTTCCAGACCCTTGATAATCTTGGATACCCTCCTCTGCACACATTCAGCTTGTCAACAACCCTTTTACATTGTGGAACCCAGAGGTGGACACAGTACTCCAGGTGGGGTCTGACCAAGGCAAGGTAGAGTGGAACTATTACTTCCCTTGATCTGAACACTATACTTTTGCTGATGCAGCCTAGAATAGCATTAGCCTTTTTGGCTGCTGCATCACATTGTTGACCCATGTCAAGCTTACGGTCCACTAAGACCCCAAGACCTTTTTCACATGTACTAGTAAAGCCAGGTGTCCCCCATCTTCTATTTGTGAAGCTTGTTCTTCCTGCCTAAGTGCAGAATCTTATTTGTCCCTCTTGAAATTCATTTTGTTAGTTTGGGCCCAGTTCTCCAATCTGTTACGATCATCCTGAATCCAAATTTTGTCTTCAGTAGCATTAGCTGTCCCTCCCAGTTTGGTCTATCCAGGTCAGTTATAAAGACCTTGAGCAACAATGTGGACCCAGGAGAGAACCCTGTGGCACCCACTTGTTTTTTCCACAACGCTGAGGAACCATTAGTGAGCACCCTTTGGGTTCAGCCAGTCAATCAGCTACAAATCCAACGCAGCCTACTATGGACATTAAAATGTTCATTCCTATACTTGTTGTATAGAGAAATTAGATATTTCTTACTGGAAAAAGAGCATATGAGGTTCTACCTTTTAAATGAGAGAGAGGTCAATCTTTATTGACAAGTATTTTTATTCATACCTACAAAAGAAAACAAGATGGTATCAAAAGGACAATTTACAAACTAATAGTAACATAGCTTTTTAGTATGCTGTGCCTGAATACCACAGAGCTATGAATCCTTCCATTCAAGTCTTTGTTAATACAACAGGAATGTGTTCAAATACCAGTAAGGGTTGAAACAGAGCATTGATCCAACCCAAAAAGCCTCTAAAGTTTAGAGTTTAAATCTTTCAACTTAAAGCCCACACAGTAATTTATTTGGAAGGGAAGAAGATGCTGGACTGGCATTTCGAAAGACGTTTACTGGAGAAACGCTTTGTCAACGGGGCTCTTTAGCTGGTAAGTGGAACCAAGCAGCACCAAGTGGGACATGGCCAGAACATACCAGAGCATTCAATGGTTGTTAATATTCTGCATGTGCTAACAAGATATTCCATGATACGTTTCTAAAATGAACGTTCATTTCTGATCTTTTTAGCATTGAAGCTTACTACTAGACTTCTCATTTCTCCAGTGTACAATTACAGAAGTCAAATGAAGCATGAGCTATTTGAACTGGCAAATTTCCCTCTCACAGTCTGTGCCAAGAACCTACCTGTATGTTGCGTGCAGACAAAGTTTTATCGAACCCCGGGCTGTTCTCTACTGAGGAATACAAATGTAACAGCCCCTTTTTAAAAAATAAACAAGCCCCACATTGCAATAAAGTAACTGGGCTGTTGTACTTATTTGAACTATGCATTTCCCAAAACAGAAAACACTGTAGCACATACATTATGCCTCTCAATCAGTACAGTACACAAGTGATCTCCTGCCATGTTGTCCAAACATAGCCGGTGATGCACTAAAAAAGCCAACTACTTGTCAACCCTTCTGCTAATAGTCACAGGACATAAGCCTTAGTACTTGAAGAATTCTATCCCACTCTCCCCACTCACTAACCTACAACCTTGCTCAGCCTGGGGAAAAAAATCGACAAGATTGAATGGAACGGTTTACTAAAGTTCCATCCTTTCCTAAAATTTCCTAGAATGCTACCTACCTGTAAAAGCTGAGTGTAAAAGACAGTTGAAGAAACTCACTCAAAAAGCCAAGGAAAGCCCTATTCAGATCAGGATGTGAATGCAGCTCCAAGACTTACTAGCCATCTCTTCCTCCTCCCCACTAAAGAGGGGGTTAGATTCCATTTGGCCTAAAGTAAATCTTCAAAATTTGAAACAGAAAAACTGAACCATTTTACACAGCACAGTGGGATCCTGAAATCTGCCCAATAAGAGATGTTATATTAAGGACATATACACCAAGTAAATGGTGACTGCTTAATTTTCCTCAGTATTTTCTGCTGAAGTGCAATTTGGAACTTGAGGTGGGGAGGCATAAGGTTTTATTATTATTGGTTGAAAAATCTAGCTGGTAGTAATTTGAGTACCACAGAGAAATCCAATTAACCTTTAAGAATGAAATGATTTAGTTATGAAAACAGGGGAGTACAGAAAAGAAATCTCTTTTTCTAACACACTTTCTTTAAATCCCTTACACAAAGGGTTGATAAGACATCCAGGTGCTGCAAAAATGCTAACCAAAATTAAATGTTTTTGTTTTTTTCTGTCTGTAAAGTGGAGAGGTTTGGAACAACTGTAAGACGAGTCAAAACAATTATTATATTTTCAAAATCCACCTATGTCAAATTCAAGGACTCAGGTTCAACTGTCCTTGTGGAAAGTCTCAATTTTAATAAGCAAAAATTACACCATCTCAAATATTCTGTTAAGGAGTATTACACAACATCTTTCTTGTGGTCTATGTGATGGATAAGTTGTTCCTCTCTGCAGCAAGTTTTCATACACAAGCCTCAGACACAATGACAACTGGGCTGGGACATATCTGCCTTGTAGGTGTTTTTTGGAGGGGGGGTGAGAAAAAAAATCATTTCAGGTTTCTTAACATGCAAGGCCAAAACATGTAAAGAGAAGTTAGTTTTCCAGTCAACTCTAATTTTAAAAACAAAATTGGAAATGTAGACCGGGGCCAATGTTTATGGACAGTATCTGATAGTGAACTCTACATCTAACCTGCATTAGGGGAAAACACCACAATGGGGATGGAAGGGTGGTGAGGGAAAGGGGAGAAGAGAAGGTTCTTATTTGCAAGTCTTGACTGGTCACCTATAAACCAAATGGTCTCACTTGCGTGCAGGGGGAGGGGGTGGTGGAGGTGGTGGATACTGGTAGTTGGCAGTCTGTCCCATATAGCCCATCACGTTAGTGCCTGGAGGCTGAGGAAACTGTTGCGACATGAGAGGCTGAGGCTGCTGGCCGGAACGGCCCATTCCTGCATACTGCTGCTGGCCTGTGCTCTGCGAGTTTCTCCCGGCATTGGCAGCATTTGCTCCGCCATAGCCAGCGGCACCATATTCTGCCCCATAGCCACTTGCACCGTAAGCAGCAGCTCCATAGGCTCCCTGGGCATAGCCATACTGGCCCTGCTGCGACCCAAACGCAGAATTTGCACTCCCATATGCACCACCGTAGGCCTTGTTGGCTCCGTTTGCAAAGCTCTCTCCGCGTTCACGGTCTCGGAAGCTGCCCGAGTCTCTCCGGCCATCTTTAACACCACGGAGCCGCCGTTCACACTCCTCCTGATACATCAGATTGGGATTGTTGGAGGTGTTGCTGGTACGGTAACGAGAGCGGCCGCCTGGTGGTACAGATGAATGAATATGGTGTCAAGCTCACTTAAATGCCCTCTAGATCAGGGGTAGGCAACCTAAGGACCGTGGGCCGGATGTGGCCCAATTGCTTTCTCAATCCGGCCCATGGATGGTCCGGGAATCAGCGTGTTTTTACATGAGTAGAATGTGTGCTTTTATTTAAAATGCATCTCTGGGTTATTTGTGGGGCCTGCCTGGTGTATTTACATGAGTAGAATGTGTGCTTTTATTTAAAATGCATCTCTGGGTAATTTGTGGGGCACAGGAATTTGTTCATTTTTCCCTCCAAAACATAGTCCGGCCCACCAATGGTCTGAGGGACGGTGGACCGGCCCACGGCTGAAAAAGGTTGCTGACCCCTGCTCTAGATCAACTGAGCTTACACTATACACTTAACCTTATGCATGAGTTTTTTGCATTTGCATGTAGGGGCAATGCCACACTTTCCCGCTCACCTCACACTGACCATGCATTGAGTGTGGTTGTCTGCCAGGATAGCCCTATGAGGCAATTGGTTGCTCATGCACAGCGGCTCCTTGCAGATAACCACATCTTGGGAGGTCAGAGCTAGCACACCAGTGTGATGCCAGGCACAGGGCAGTAGACAAGGCACTGGGTACAGTGCTTGGTAGCATTCTATTAAATGTAGCTGGCAAGCTAAAGGCAACCAATATGGAAACTGCAAAAAAACAAAACACACACATGCAGAAAGAAGCTTCTTACCTCCTCCTCCACCACCTCCTCTATGGTCCACAAGCTGCATCAGTTTGGGATTGATAGCCTGATTGGCTTCCTCTAGGACTTTTATTAGCTCTCTAGCCTGCTTCAAATTCCCTGGTGTGAAGAATGTATAGGCAGTGCCTTTGTTGGTGCTACGGGCAGTACGGCCGATTCTGTGCACATAATCCTCCGAGCTGTTTGGATAGTCGTAGTTTATCACAAACTTTACGTCTTCCACATCTTTGTGAAGCAACCAAAGCACAGTGAGGGGTTGAGGACAGGATATGGTGGAAGGATGTGCCAACAGAAGGTGGGGAGCACAAATGCAGGTGACAGTAACAAGAAAAAAGAAAAAAGTTAATAGTTGTAAAGAATAAAGACAGTACAGACTCTTCCCAACAGAGCGAAAGGCTAAATGGAGAGATATGCCCATGGACATAAATAATTTATTTTCAGAAAGTCAAGTCAAAGCAGTTCATTCTTCCGCTAAAATTCATCCATCCTTTGCTGCATGCATGCTACGAACACACACACAAATAATATTAATCTCCAAACATTTCATTTGTGGAATTCAGGCAACTTTACACCAGCATGTCATCAAACAAATGTGCCATTCTTTTTATGGACGCAGCAACTGGACTGGATGTAGGAGAGAACTGCCACAGGCCTTTAACTCTGTTAGGAGAAGTCTACAAAGTCCAGCAACACTGAAACCACTTACCTTCCAATCGTTACAAAAATGGGGGGGAAATGCTTTCCCCCCAAAAATGATAGCTTAGATATTTTATTCCCCCTCTTCCTGGTATCTATAAATTACCCCAATTCTAAATTTGAAGTACAGTTTGGCCAATGGACATTCAGATCATTTTAATTCTCCTTTAAAAAGGTATATCACACTAACATTTGATATCACCAAGACTACCTTGGTGAGATTTCTAGCATAAACTGCTTGCAGCTAACTTGAACAATGGGAATAACCCAATATTTAAACATTCAAAACCTTTGAGGAAACATTTTAAAGTTCACAGGTGCAAAAGGCAGAAAATAAGTAAATGTTAGTGTAATGCTTTAAAAAAAATTGCAATACATTTTAAACAGCAATTTTACATTAAAATTTAACAGCTCTTACAAAAAAAAATCTGCATTTTACAGAGAATATTCAGATTATATCCAAGATAAAACACAGATTGACTTTTCTCGTAAAAATTAGAAACATTCCCTGTTTTGTTACCAGACCGATGCACACTCCCTCCTCCTGTGGGAAATCGCTGCAGACGATCCCGTCTCTTTGCCTTTTATTTTTGGCGGCCTCCTTTCGAAAACTCCGCCCTCTGACACGGGACCACTGGAGCGCGGGGAGCATGCATCAAGGGTCCATGGCAGCGAGAAGTCCCCACACACGCTCGCTCTGTGAACTGGCATGGATGCTTCTCTGTAGCCCCATTTGGCTGTCAAGCGCCTGAGAACCTGGGTTCACGTAAAGGTTTCAGGTCCTCCAACGCTTGTTGTCCCCTCACAGGGCTTAAAGGGGGCAACTGTCAAAAATGCAGATGCTAAAAATTACATCCAAAAGGTCAGGCTGCATCTATTGCCCAGACTGCATCAATTTCAAATAAAGGGATGGGGAGAGGGGCAAAAATAAAAGTGGGTTGTAGTGGTGGCAAAGGGGTATTACGTCTGTTTCTTATTACACCAAGGGGGGGCTCCTCAATCTTTCCAGACTCCAAAGTCCTGAATCACACCAAAAAGTGAGAAGGCAAGATTTCACAGGGGCAGCGCGAGTCTCCAGCTAGGGTCCTTGGTGCAAAGATCTCAAAGGGCAAGAGTTGGGTAAGGGCAGGGTAACACACCAAGTAGTGCATTCACATCTTCATAGCTAGGATTTAACTGGAGTCTGACAAACAGCAGGCTATGGGACCTCAGCCAATCCCATTCTGTACATCCCTTAGTTAGGTAGCCATAATGAATACCAGGAAGCATATCCTTGTTAGAAAGCACAGAGACTGCCAGTTAACAATGAAGGTCTCAATGACTGGATTTTGGTGGAAATCCATGGAAGGGCAACAAGGAAGAGAAAAGAGGTGGGGTCAATTTCTACCTTAAAAAGGTGTGTATCAGATCCACATTATCTGAGTGGGGGAGGGGAGGTAACATGCAGTAAAATGATTTCTTACTATTCTATCTTGCACTGATGTAAAATTGTGCTCATCACAGTATTTCTTCCAAGGAATTATAGAGATTCCGTTCTTGATCATTCTAGAAAGGAATATGGCTACCTGGGGATGCATTCACACTGAGATGCCCCCGGAAAATGACTGGGCATTTAACTGGGAGGGGCAGAAACTAGCAAACACGCTTCATCTAGAGAGCTGCTTCGACCACCAATGTAGATATGTCCCCAGACCTGCACTGAGTGATCGGCAGCTGATAAAGTTTCTGTTAAAGAAAACAAACAAAAAGAAATTTAATGATTTGACTTTAACAGAGTGAAGTGTTTAATGAAAAACAGTGCAGAGGGAAGTCTTCTCTCCTGGGGGTTATTCATAAAGAAGCCATTATGGGGGACTCAACTTACCTGGAAGGAGTTTTCTGAGACCAATGTTCCTTTGAGTAGAAGGAAAAACCCTGGTGACTCAGCCAAAAAGTGCGCGCCCCTGTTCTATGTTTTAGGTAGAAGCCTTCACTTTCCAGGAACTTGGAGGAATTCGTCCAGAGGTTTGCCAGCTACGTATTATTAAGCAGCAAACTCTGGGCCCCAAAACAAGCCAAGATGTTCTTTAGTAACAAGAAACAGACTCTGGTACCTTTTCCCCCCAGCCTCGGTGAAGTGGAGAAGGCAGAACGGGGAGACTGTTTTCCTTAAATAGTATCCAAATGAGTTGTTTTGGGGAAATATATATATATGAGAAGGGCTGATTTTAAGTGTCTAGGCAAGATGCACAAAGAAGCTACCAGCACACAGCAAGCCTGTTTAAAAACCACTGCCAAAAAAATCTGGCCTCACCCCTTCTCCTAACAGGCCCAAGTTCTACCTGCACAGGTCCAGACATGACCCCAGAGGACAGAGACTGAAATCCATATGAACACCTCTAGAGAAGTGTTTCCAATTTAGGGGATGGCATGTGAGAAGGAAGGTTATGTGATTAAAGGCTACCAACGTTTTTAGTATGTTTATCACATTTGGGAACTAAGCATTTCAAGTGACAAAATTCTCTGTTTAAACAAAGTCACTCTGAACCTGAGGGATTGTTTTCATTGATTGGGTACAAGATCTGCCACTGTGGGCCAGTCCACCAAATTCAACACTAACAGCTCCCAGGAGTGGCCTCTTCCAGATTTCCAAAATATCTACAATATGGAGAATCTGACATTTCTGGCCAATTGAGATGCAGAGCTTAATCACAATACAGATATTAAAGCGGGACTGTTTACCCAAGCATCCGGAAGCAGCCATTTTTACAGCACTGAAGAAAACTGAGATACATCACACTACAAGAAACCCCTTGTAGCTTTTACTATATAACCTCAGCAATCCAGTCTAGGTGGGAAAATGAGGGATAATGCTTGTGTGTTAAAATACAAGTTACATTCATGTATGTGAAACAGTGCTCCATAGTAGTGGTGAGTCTCTAAGGTGCAATTACATTAGTAATGCATCTGGACAGAGAGGGATTTTTAAAAAGATGTTTGCTCTACCGTCTGGTAATTCTGAACAACTTAGTGGGTGCAGTCCAATCCTAGTCATCCAGCAACAAAGCTGAAGCTGGAAATGAGAGGGTGTGTGGAACAATTGGGCTTGAGTAATTGGACGTCTCTTCTCCCCACTGGCGATCGATTAGTCATGCCTAGGCCTTGCTGCAGACCAAAGCCTGTTGTTAGGAGCAGGAAGAGATTTTGAATATGAAAGAAAAAAAAAGATCAATGTTAAAAAAGGCATTTCACATGTGGGGGAAAGTCACGCTTTAAAATTCTTTGGAATAAGTTTCAAATCTAAAGAAACGACCTGAGAAGCAGGCAGAGAAGCCCATGTGTACAAACCTAGCCCACGAGATGCAACATCCGTAGCAATGAGGATAGGAGCCTTTCCAGAACGGAACTCTGAAAGGAAAAAAGCCACGTCACAAAAACCACACATAATAAAGAGATCTTTCTCTCTCATGGTTCCAGAATTAGACTTGAAACCTTTACATCGACTCACACTAGGACTGCATGCACTTAATTTTCTGTTTTGTTGCATTTCAATTAGGAAAGCATGTAAAAATACTGAAATCAACAAATAGCTAAAAATAAGCATGTTCAGCATATAGATGAGATCAATAAGCTTATGATTTTGTATTGTATATCACTTATGCACAAAATCAAATATTATCTGGGAAGCCAGGAAAGCTTTTCCTGCTACTCACCATTAAGCACCCAATCTCGTTCTGGTTGACTCTTGTCTCCATGAATACACATAGCTGGCCATCTACAAAGACAAAAGGTTTTCAACAGTTTTAAGCTGCCACATGCACCTCTGGGGGACAATGTGCCCCTACAAAAGCTAGAGACTGCACCAGCAAATGTTCCAAGTGAGGGTGGCAACAATATACATTAGGGAACAACAGCATGTTCTTCAATATTATTTTACTTGCATCACTCAATTACTGTGTGTGTATTTCCAAACGAAGAAGCTAATTGTCATACTTAAAGTGCTAGTGGTTAATTACTATCTCATTGCCTGGAGCTGCCTCAACAACCTACCTATCCCCTCAGATTCTGGAAGAGTAGTTTTCCCTTTTTATCTTATTGACAATTGTTTTGATGAACATCTTTAAAACATGTACACTGGATTCTCAAATACAGTACTACATCCATTAAGTTTCCAAGTAGGCAGCCACATCATTCCTTCTGCAACCTGGATTTCATTGCAAGCTAAATATAGGAACATCTTTGCAGCAACAAAATTAAGCCCTAAGCATCTTTAAAGCTTTTCATCTGCAACATTATCAGTTCAAAGAAAGAGCAGAAGGCCTACCCATCTCTACGCATCCTTCGAGTTAGGTCATCACAACGTCTTTTTGTCTCCACAAATATAATTGTCTTATTCTCTTTTTCAGCCATGATTTCTTCCATCAGTTGGATTAGTCTTCGAATAAAAACACACACAACAAATTATAAACATAAAATAAGCTAATTTCATATCATTATTTGAGGCAAGTCATTTACAGCAATATTCAATCCACTCAAAATTAATTATACACAGCATTTAAATGACAAGTAAAGACTCGCTTAGCTCAGTGGGTGTTTTATGGATAAAACTATAGGTTTTTGGCCTTAATCACATGAACTGTAACAAGGAGCACTGTTTTAACTGCTCTGAAAGTCCAAGATCCAAAAGGCAGGATAAAAACAAATAAAAATCATTAAATAGTTACACGTCCGGGGTCTGCTTGAATAACTAACTGCCATAGGCATACTTAAATAATGCTACTTTAAAGGGGAGAGGGGAAGTCTAATTTACAAGAAAATGTAGGAATTACAGCAGCATCCATACTTATGATCTTTTTCGCTCTCCATGCACACGTCCACTATTTGCAGGATATTATGATTGGCACTCAGCTCCAGGTTGCCCACATTGATCTGGACATAGTCATGCAAGAAATCCTCAGCAAGCTGGCGCACCTCCTTTGGCCAAGTGGCACTCCACATTAGAGTCTGCCTGTCAGGCTGAAAGAATATATGTTAAGCTGGGTGGTATTCTTTAAAGGGGGGATTTAAGGAAAGCTAATACAGTGAAGGTTTACATACCCGTATCTGATCAACAATTTTACGAATCTGAGGTTCAAAACCCATATCCAGCATTCTGTCAGCTTCATCTAGCACAAGGTATGTACATCGGCGGAGATTAGTTTTCCCTGCTTCCAAGAAATCAATTAGACGTCCGGGTGTAGCAATGCAAATTTCAACACCTTCAGGGAATGAAGTTGGGATGGGGATGAAAGTTAGCATAAAAGGAACTTAATATTAACCAAGGATTCAAATACTAAATTCAAAGATACAACAGTTATGTACACAGCCAACACTTTTATGTGCATCAAGTTGAAGCCCTTTTAGCCTACAATTCTTAAAGAAGTTTAGATAGAAATACTGCATACATTAAATTTGCAATCAACATTCTTAGCCAACAGTCTACATCCAGTCTATGCATACAACTCTTTGTTTTTTTAATGAAGGCAGACAGAAATCTTCCAATTCAGTTCAATATTTAAAAGTCTGCATGGTAAAGAAAAGCCTCACTAGTACAGCTCGCAAGCTGTTCATGTAAGACTTAGCCAAAGGCTTCAAATTTCTACTTCCTCAGCCTTTATAAATATTTCAGTTGATTTTTTAAATACAGTAAGCCCACAACTTAAGCAGGGGTCATGTTCCGGGGACCAGGCCTAAAGCCAAAATCACTTATCATCAAAACACATTGTGGTCAATGGTGGATGGAACCGCCAAAGTCTTTTTTCCGGGACGCCCACCCCATTTCCATTTAGTTTTTCTTTTTTTTCAAGCACATAAAGCTGAAAGCGCACAAGTTAAATGTATGTAAGTTGCACACTTACTGTAACAAATTTAGTAAAGAAGAAACAGAGCAAAGAAAGTGAAAGGGGGGAAAACCCATCAACTTTCATTAAAAATACATTCACCTATGAGACAGCCAACATAATTTAAATATATTAATTGAAATACGCTACCAAGAAGGTATCCATACAAAGTTTTAATCACATATTGGGGTTGCACAATTAGTATGTTACAACCATCCTGCGTAAAGCGAGCCCACTGTTAATTACCTCTCTCCAAGTCTCTGATTTGAGGACCTTTGGGTGCTCCTCCGTATATACAGGTACTCTTCAACCTTGAACATTTACCATAATCATCGGCTACCTGCTGGACTTGCTGGGCCAGCTCTCGGGTAGGAGCTAAAACCAGACACTGCAAAAGAAGGCATCAAAGAATACTGTGAGAATACTGTTTTATGTAAATTGCTTAAACATCAGAGGCAAAGCCCACAGCTCTCTTTGATTTACTGAAATGTAATATGAGAAAGCATAAAATGTATGTAAAAAAAAGCATTAAAAATATTTACTCACAATTGGACCATCCCCTCTTTCCAAGTATGGCTGGTGGTTGATATGAACAATTGCAGGCAGCAAGTACTGAAACAGGGATAAATCAAGATATTAAGGGACATGAAAATGAAAGTCACTTCTCAAATCTTACCTATATACTGCTTAAAGACACAAAGTGGATATACCAGCTGTCCAATTCACAAACGCATTTTAAGTTAAAAGTGAGATATACAGCTTTCACCTCTTCATGTATCTGAGAACAGCCAACCTGGAGGTGAAAGGAGCAGTACACCAATACTGCAATGGGTCAACATGGTTCCCATAATCAGGCATGCACGGGTGCTGTACTCTCAAGTTTTAGTCACTGAACCAAGTGCATAGAGGCAAGGATCAGCAGCATTAGATGCTTCTGCCAGTAAGACAGTAATCATAGAAAGCCAAATACAGAAAGCTGAAAGTACTCCATCAGCTAAGCGAAGGATGCTTAGCGTAAGCTACAGCCCAACTGAATAAAAGGCTCATGAGCTATGACAATATTCCCCTCAGTGTGATGCTAGTCAACATTACACGGCTGACTTCTTACAACCCCTCCAAGAACATACACCACAAAAGCCTAAATCTACTTCCATGATATCAGCTTCAATTAACAACAATGGACCATGCCCAAATAAGCATTTAGTATTGATGCTTCAGACTGATAACTTCCAGATAAGTGCAGATAGCATTATGTTAAGTCTCAAAGGACAAAGTGAGACTTGCATTGAAGGGGTTTGGACTAGATGATCCACAGGCTCCCTTACAACTCTATGATACTTCTGAGCAAACATGCACAGGCTCAGGTGTCATGATATAAAATGTGGAAAAGTTAATGAAATATCACACCTTTACCTTGTCCTTGTTTAATTTTAGATATCTATCTTTACAAGATGTTCACAGTTTGCTACAAAAGGAAAAATATGCCCAAATTCTGCACTTAGCCTTGGTGTACTGCTGAAGTAACTTGCAGAAGTAACAGGAGAGGAGCAGCTTTGTTCTATTCTTTTCACATGAATGATGCATAATGTCACTGTGATTGAAAGTAAGTGCTTTCCTCCCAAGGAATTTGGAGACAAAAACAATTCAACAAAAACTTAAAAATACATACTGCCAATGTCTTTCCAGAGCCAGTCTGTGCAATGCCCACCATATCATGACCACTAAGGGCCAACGGAAAGCCCTGGCACTGAATTGGAGTTGGTTCTGTAAAATGCTGGTCAATCAAGACATCCATTACATACTCTGAAAGTTAAAAACATAGATATAATCATACATTAAAAACAGCACAGCATATATTCTGCATGAATTATATTTTCACAGTGTGCCGTTTAACCAATGCTACATGTTAGTATCACATTCTGGGGCCAAGTACTGAAGATTTATTGATTTTTATACTACCTTTCAGGGCTAAGGAAGTACCCAACTTAAAAATTATTTAAATAAAAGGTTGTCATATACAAAATTCACAATAAAAGTACTAAAAGCAATTCATTTAGAAATAGAACTGATTGTTAAAATTACAACTAAGAACATAGAACAGCATCATTATCACTTAAAAGCAGATTTAAAGGACCAAGTCTTGAGAGGCTGCTTAAAACCAGTCAATAAGGGACCCAGATTTTGCTTCCTGGGAAAGACTTCAATAACAACAACAACGTGTATGCCAATGGATGGGGGGTGCCAAACTAGGTCTTAGACCTGAGTGAAATAAAGCTTAGTTTCGCCCCTGAGCACTGGGAATCAATGCAACTGATAAAGAATCAGTGTTATATGCTCATATTGCTTTCCCCCCAAAGCCACTGAAGCTTCTGAACTGTTTCAAAGGTGGTCCCAGAAAGAGTGCATGACAGTAATTTAGTCTTGAGGTAATCAGCTCATCAATGACTATGGCAAATAGGGGTGCAGCGAGCAAATGGCAAATCAGCTAGTTGTCTGGGAGAAACTCCAAGTTGTATACCTGGTCATTCAACCTCACCCAACACATCCAGTTCAGCAGATTTCCCACCCTCAGTATTTCTGTCAATGAGGTTTCAGATTCTTCACCCTCTTTCATCCCAAAACTGATGTCATCCAAGATCTCCCATTAGTCACAGCTGCAAAGCAGAATACTTACGTGGAAAGTTACACTGGTGGAAGGCAAACACAGGCTTGGGGCAAACATCTGATCCTCTAACTGTAATCTCTTTCTTTCTTCTTAGCTCATCAACCTCATACTGTTTAGAGTAAAAATTGCACATAAACCTTGTGAAAATAAATTTTTATATAACCTTCCATTGTTATGAAAAACATTAAAGGCTGTCACGAAGAAGATAATCCCTTCATTTCTATCAATGCATCATCATCCATTTGCACTTAAAGTAAAATGCTCTGTAGCTTTAGCTTTATGTTCCAACAATCCTACCTGATAGACAACGCATCTTTTAAACTCTGAAAGGTGGAATAAGATTTTTTTTTATAAAATATTTCTCTCCATATTAGTTCCATTATCAAGAAAATATTGAAAGTACAGCTAAGTAGGTACTAGAATTCATGTCCAAAACTGCATCCACCTCAGGGGATCGCAAATCCCGTGTAGTAAAAACAACACACAAACCACAAAAAAACCTCTAGAGCTGCATTCCTGAATACATTTATGAGGAAGCAAATCCCACTGAATTCACCACCCAGAGTCTTATAGTAACAAAGTTTTCTCAGGTGAATTCTTTGCCCAAACTGCAAGATGTTCAATATGCTACTAATCCAAAAATGAAACACTAGTAAGTCACATATAACTCCTCATCTGCATCAATATTTCAATTTAGGTTAGATAAAGAATCTAGCAAGTTATTTTCCCCACTTGCTTTGCATCTTATTGATAGTTTCCTTTAAAATGCTTTATTTGCATACTGGTGCAACTTGAAGAGTTGTGAATAATGTCAACGAGCACGTGAGAAACTTAATTTCAGAACATTTCCAAGTGATTTTCTTCCAAGGTGACTTGCATATTAGAAATTAAGACATACAGTCTCAACAAAAAATAGTCAATTTGAGCGCATCCAATTCATAATACATAACTAATTCCACAGAACCAGAATCTGACAGACAACAAGTAAAGAAGAAAAATATTTCCTACCCAAAAGGGCACTGCCTATGTAAAACTGACCTTTAATAACTAAGTCTTCAGGGCCTACAAAGATTGGAGCACAACAGTCTTCTGTGCTTGGATTGAAACAAGCCAGAAAAATTGATATGCACTTAACACTTGAAACCAAATTTATTCCAGAAGTTCATTTTTAACAAAATACACTGCAACTCAAAAAACATCCAGGCCACAGTTTTAAGGTGAAATCACCTATATAAACATATATTACAAGTTAGACTTGCATAGGCAAAACTGGCACCCAGGTAATTACGAAGGGCAGATATTATAAAATAGATGTTTGTTCTCGCTACCATTTAGGCCATTTGATATGCTACAAATTACTAACTTAAATATTTCTGGGCAAGTAGCTTAAAATACTTTTGTAGGCTTTTTTACAAGCCTTGTGTAATCACAGAAAAGATAGATTAGAAGTAACTTTATAAATTGCAGTAAGTTAATGAAAAGATTACCACTGCAATGTGCAGGCTGACAAAGCTATTGGCAGAAATAATTCTAGTTATTTTCATATCTGCGTTAGCGCTCTATATGGGAAGCATTAAAGCTGGCAAAGTTTCCAAGTATACCAAGCACAAAAGGAAGAACAAATGAAACTTACTGGAGTAAGTCTGGCCACTTCTGGGTGTTCAGCATAGAAATTTTTTTCAAACTTAGGCAATTCATTCAAGTCCCATTTCTTTTTACGGAGACGTTCACCTGGGTTTCCAAATTTTTTAGGAGGAAGCGGACCGCCAAACCTGGAGAGGAGGGGGATTCCAGTTGAAGTTATTTTTCAAAGTATTTGACAAACATATGCTTGCGTCTTTATTATTAAGCTAAGAAAACATTTCTGTAATGGGGGAAAGTGTCACCTATTTCATCTTATTGATGCCACTACAAGAAGGCCCTCTGCCTGGTTCCCTGTAATCTGAATCTCAGTGAAGTTATATTAAAGCAACATTCCCCCCCTCTATTTGCTATACTATATCCTTAACCAACAAATAAACAAAATGAGACCTTGGGGCAATAGATGTATTGTTGCTTATCAATAACATAACAACAACAGTTCAGCTTCTGGAAATACTGAAGACAGCAAGAATTGGTAAAATGTTTATTCCAGGGATTGTCTTTATTCTGGATGGCGACCCCTGGCTTATTCTATGTAATTTGTTTACTGTTGCAGGAAAGCAGCAAAAAATATTCAAAGCAATTACTTTAATCTAAATGTTTTAGAAAGTATTATCAGCAAACATTGAAAAAATTCTAAACATACCTTTAAATGTTTTTGCAAGTTTTTTTAACTTTACTTTCTAACAAAACAGAGCATAACTTTGAAAGATCAAATTCCACACATGAAAACAAAATGAAAAACAAGGTAACTTTATAATCAAACCATTTTATGCACAATTTAGCAACAAGCTATGGGAAACATGCATATGTACTAGGATACAGTTTTAACTGCAACAGTTCATTTATGACACTAACAGTGCAACTCTAAGCACATTTACACATAAACTAGTCCTATCAAGTTCAGGGAAGTTTACTCCAAAGTGTGCAAAGGTTTGCAACCAATACTTATATGGGAGTAAACCTAACTGAACAAATCTTACTTTTAAGCACCTATGGACTGTGCTGTAGGCTGCCTAAAGATAGCTTATCAGCTGTATGAGCAATGGAACGCTCAAAAATTACTTTATTCCAGATTTTCTCACTTACTGGGAAGTAAGTCCTATTTAACATAGTGGGCCTTACTTCTGAGTAAACAGGATTAGGACTGCAAAGCCAGGGTGCTTCCAGGCAGAGGTGTTTGGAACCTCAGTATCAGTGACACTGAATCAGCAAGTCACACATCTATAAACTGTGGTAAAATTGTGCAAATCCCCATGCAGTTCAATCAGACTAGCACAATGACAGCAGCACCAATGCTTCTACCACAGGTAATACTCACATTAGTGTTTACAGTGGTTGGAGAAGCAACACCTGGGGTTGTTATCATTTTCAGTATCACCACAAGCTGTGTCAGCTGATCCCAATTCTTTCAAACTGAATGCTGATCCAAAGCATATTTACTTGCAAGTTGTCTCCTTGATTTGGACAGGGCTTATAACAAGTAAATGTGCTTGGGACCACGGCATATACTCCTCAAGTTAACAACATAAGAAAATAATACTGATACCAATAATGATACATATACTATCTGTTTATGCACTCTATAATTAGGCTCGCGCTTAAATATCCCAAGTAAGAACATGACAAGGCACTGAACAACAGCATTATACAGTCACAAGGAAATTCTCACAACTGAGTTAAAATGAGCTTAGGTTGCAATCACTTTATTATAGAGCACCCTGTCAGATTTGAACAAATTCACCCTGGGGTAAGGATTGCACTATGCCTCTGCAGCTGTACTTTAGAATTTACAATACAGTACTTTACTACCACTGTAAAAGTGACACTGAAGTCAGAGGAAATACCGTGTCCCACCTTAACCCAGAGGAAGAGGAGGAACGCAATGCTGGGGATCAAATAAAGTGATCAACAAGTATAAAATCTGCGGGAGTTGGGACTGGTGCAAGATGTGTTCAGAGGCCTGCTGCCCTCCGATCAGTTAAGGGAAGAGAGGAGGAACACAAACGAACTTTGTCCAGGGAGCCTCTAGTTCCCGCCTCCTACGGCCTCGCATTTCCTACCCCAGATCTCCACCCCTCATGGGCCCACATTAAGCACCTCCCTGTCCCCACCTTGGACTCCATATTGCAACGCCATTTTCCATCCGCTTAGTTACATTCAGCAACCATATTGCAACCTTTTAATTCCTGGCAAGAGAGAAGCCAGGAGTAGGTGAAGCTTTCCTCCCCCAGTTGCGGTGGTGCAGAAAGCTTCACCTGTTGGATTACAGGTGCAGCAGTGTGAAAAACCAGTAGGCTTTGCTACAAAACGCATACACACACACACACACACACACACACACACACACGTATGTATGTATGTATGTATGTAGCAGCTTTTAACGCACTGTAGCCCCTTATGTTTACTCAGGATTACCATCCGAGATCAAATAAACTTATTCCCCGAAGAAGCGTGTTCATGAAATCCTCTAGCTCGCTTTCCCACCCGCAGGGGCCGAGGGCCCTCCGGCCTCTCTCCTCTCCTGGCGGGTTTCCTGTGCGGCAGCGACGAGGCAGGCAGAGGCCCAGCAGGGAACGAGCATTTCCCAGCGCAGGAGCATCGCCACAGGGAAACGGCTCCTGGCGGCTTTCTGTCTGCCTGTGGCGAAGCCCAGTAGACTCGGGTTCCCCGGAGGAGGCCGCCCCGCTCCCTTCCCCGCCCCGGCCTTCCTTACCCGCCGCGGTCGCGGTCTCGGCCTCGGTCTCCAAAGCCTCGCATCCTCACAGGCCGAAGGAGTCCTCTGGCGCCAGGCTACGTGGGCGAGCAAAGCGACGACCGGAGTCCCGGCGCTGAGAAGACCCGAGCGCGGTTGTTATTGTCCTGCTATATCCCTTCTTTCTCCCGCTAGGGCTCGATTCCCGCAGGCTCCAGGCAGGCCGAATGGAAGCAGGAACTGCTCGGCGCGAAAGACAACGCCGTCTTTCTTCTCCGACCTCCCGACACAAAATGGCCGCCGCCAACCTAGCTTGCCGCCTCTTACGTTGTCGGTCTGGCCGACTGTTGCGTAGACTACGGCCCTGAATAGTCGGGAGGAACAGAGAGGGAACGGGCGCCTGCGCTTATTCTCGAAAAACGCAACGTCGGTCCTGTTGTAAAGGGCCGGTTCAAAAGGATCCTGGTACCGTGCGCGGTACAGAAAATACGTAGGCGTAGCCTGCATTCGTTTAGCTCCTTGCGTCGGGGAGCCAACTTCTGCCCATTCTTGAAAGCGCAAATATCCTGTCCTACGAGCCGAAAGAAAGCTCTAATGGAGGTAATATAAAACTGCCTCCGTAATTTACGTAAGTGGTGCCAGTGCTGCTACATTCCGGGACTGTATGTGAGGAAGCTACGTACCCATCTTTCGTAGAAACTACTGGGGTAGTATAGCAGAGCTACGCACACTCTGTAACGTATAGGCTTCAGAGAATATCGCCTATCGACTATAGAGAAGCGAACCGCGCTTGTGAGACAATGAACTTCGTATGCCGCAACACGGATCCGGTTTTGCCAGCAACTTTCGCTCCTAAAGCTCCAAGACGCGGAATGCTCTCCGAAATTTCAGTTCGCTTCGCTGCTAGAAACCTATTACTACACTACACGCCACGCCAATGTACACGAGCAGTGCGAGATTGCCGGGGTTGCAGGCGAGCCTTAACCCAGGGCTTCAGTTTTGTTTTGTTTTGTTATTGGGATTAGTATTTACTTTTTTTTGGCTTGTGCACCACTTTGAGGTCCTCAGGGCTGTGAAGCAGTTTATAAACTTGTAAGCAACCGAAGTACAACGAAACCGCAGAAATCGTTTAGTTGCGTGATAAGCTTGAGACCAGGGACTTTTGTAAGCACCTTGGGAGCCTTTGTGTCTAAAAGAACAGCTTATAAGAACATTTTAAAATGGTCTGCAGAATCAGACAAAATGTCCACTAGTGTAGCATTCTGTTCTCACAGCGGATAGCTAGATGCCATAGGAATAGTTACAATAATAATTATATTATTTATACCCCCACACACTCTGGGCGGCTTCTAGCACATATTAAAACATAATAAAACGTCAAACATTAGAAACTTCCTGATACAAGATATAGCTACAGTCACCAATTTAGCTTGAAAAGAGGATTCGAAACATTGACTGTCAGTGGCTACTAGTTGTGATGGACATTTCCACTATCAGGCAGCATTCCTCTGAATGCAAGTTATTGGAGAACATGAGAGTACAGTACCACCAAATTCATGACCTGTTTGTCAGCTTCCATTTTTTCAGGGTTGTGAGAACAAGTTGCAGTTGTCTGGTGCCAGCATAAACACTGAGATTACTCAAGGTACTGTCTGCTTTATTATTACTGTATGTGTCCTAGGCCCAAATCCTTGAGTTAAAAGCAGCACAGGGTGCTAAACCTTGATTTATCTGAATGAGGCAGCATCAGAAACCATGGTTTGATCTTGACTTGTTTGGATAAACCACAGGCAGTTTGCATGAATTAACAAATTGCAGTTAGTTTTAAAAGGAAGCGAATGTTTCTGATCTCATAGTGATTGAGCCCGAGGAAGAGAAGAAAGGCAGGAAGCCCACAAGCCTAAGGTTCAAAAATGTAATGCTATCAGCCCTCCCCACATTGTGTTCAGGGATGTTCAAAATCACCTTTTGATTATGTTTGGCATTGCTGGATGCAGAGAGTTCCTTGACACATATGCTGTCAGTGGCACAGATTGCATAGGAAGAATAAGACAATTAGAATAAACTTATTGGGAGGCAGCTTCCACTTGTTACCCACATAACAAATGGGAAAAAAAGTAGTTTAATGCATTTCATGGATGAAAAAGCTAGCAACTGCTACATTTTATTAAAAATGCAAGTATAAACAATTTAGTTTCAGTTAAATAGAGCTGTCAAGACTCATAAAAACAACATTATAAACAATTCTTCTATTCTTCTAGCAAAAACCATTTCCATTTTTCTACACCAGCTTATTCTTTATCTGGAGGCTCCAGTGACAAGCATACTTTTTAAAATGCTGGGCAGTTAATAAATACTATTTTATTCTCAATAGCATTCCATGCTATTATATTCCATTCTACATGCAAATATTGTAGGACTTCAAGGACATAGTTATGCAGCCCTCAGCAGTGAAAACAGTGCTGGGTGTTATGTCCTTGAGGTGGAATGTGATTTTTTTGCAACAGAAACATCAGTTTTAAAAAGGGCAACAAACAATTAACAACATCTCTTTAAAATAATTTCTAAGCATTCTGTAAGCCTTAATTCTCATACCCACTGGGTTCCTCTCAGCCTATTGAAATTGCTTTGTATTGACACCTAAGTTGTAGCAAGCCAGTTGCCACCTTGCACAAAATCTGTGTCGGCATGCAAAAAGCTCAGCCATACAGGTTTCAGAGGTTGACCGTGACCAGTTTACTACCTTCATAGAGCCAACCTGCTCTACAATTACAAAAGATCACAACATTCCCAGTGATAATGTCAACAAGTGTTTAGAAATTAAAACACTCTGGATTTGGAACAAAAGTAACCAGGAATTAACTAACTTTAGACACGATTTAGCTTGTGGGCGTGCCTTCCTTTGTTCACCACCAAGTTCTGCCTATTCTTTGGCATCTCCAATTCCTCCAGCAGTTATTGCAAATGTGGCTTCATTCTCAGGCATTTCTGGGCTGAGAAAACACAGAATTTGAGTCCATTTTTAATAACTGAACATGCAGGCATTGATATGTAGAAGGGGGGGGATCCAGTGCATACATTACTTTTATGGGGGTTTGGATACAATTTATTTTGACTTTCTCATTGAATTGATTTCTTTTTTTTTACATGGTAGAAGCAATAGCCTTGATCATACATGGTTTTCAAGCATATTTTTTCAGATTTACTTGAATTCTGACTCAGATAATCATAACTGAATCAATATAAATACTCAGACTTGGTTACCATCCTCCTTAATATCAAACAGACACCCATAGGCCTAGGCTAATTAGCAAGAACTGTTAATTACACATTTGGTTCTTTTGAAGGTGCCAAGGAGGAGAGAAGTTTAGTTCAGATTAGAAAGGGCAGTTTTCCCTCTTATTTGGAACCTGAATCTTAATTTGAAGATAAGAGTGCCTCCTTCATTCACACTTCCCTTTTTTATAAACATCCATTCAGAAATAAAGTTACCTAACTTGAAGCCAAATAAACCATAATAAGTCATTGGAACTATAGCATGCACTGTACCACACAACTTCAATATTACCTATCATATATCTTGGCAATACGCAACTCTCCTCTTCCTTTACGCAAACTAATCCTAGTTGTAGAAGCATGAGCGAGGATGTGGCCCCCAATGGGCTTTTTGGGATCAGCCTGAAAGCTAAAACAAACAAACAAAAAGAGAATGATTGGATGAGAGTTATAGGATAATTTAGGGTTGCCATATTTCAAAAAGTAGAAATCCAGACACAAAAGTTGTTGAGATTTGATTTCATTTGATTTTAGGCCAGAGTTGTTGAGGTTTTTTTTTAGTTTTGCCCAAATAAAAAATGAAGTGTTAAGAAAAATCACTATGTCCGGGAAATTTTGGACGTATGGCTACCCTAGAATAATTGTGATGGCCAACACCCTTCCATACATTGCAGAGCAATGATCACCAGCTGCTTCAGATAGGGAATTTTTAAGGCATACATAAAAGGTACATCACTTCTGGTTACAAACACATAAAGATAATTGTAGTAAAGAATAGCTGTGGATGTTATTTTGTTTAATTTCTATATTTTCTCTACTACTACAACCTTGAATGTGGTCCTTCAATGCTACCTTGAAATTGCTTAGGGCTTGTCCACAAATGACAGCCCTAAGCAGAGCAAAAAAGAAAAGAAAAGTGCTCCAACAAAAAAGCATGAAGCAAAGGTACCACTAAGTGGCAGGGCTCATCCACACTTAACTTTGCTCCACATTTCTAGGCACAGGTCCAGGGTTTCCAGCTCTGTGTCTGAGTTTTTTTTTTCTTTTTGCCCCTGGGCTTTCCCCGTGAAAACCCACTCTGTGGGTAATCTGTGGGAAGCCCAAATTGCTGTTTGCTCTGATTCAGCGGTAAACACCAGGTTTTTCTGGGGGGTGGGTGAGAGAGCTCAGACACGGACTGGGAGTGTGGACCTGTGCCTAGAAAGCATAGGGCAATAGTTAAGTGTGGATAACCCCATAGTGTTCCAAGAAACACAAGGGGCTATGAAGGAAATTACTCCCCATGTTCCTCCACTGTCTGTTAGGCATTGTCAGAACCATCCCTACTCAGCTGATGCTATATACATTTTTTTTTTTTTAATGCAAAGACACTTAACACCATGTCAGGTTTCCAAGCTGAAAAGTGCCGACACTCAGATGAGAAGCTCCTCAGAACTATTTATATCTGAAAGTGAAACTCTAGTGATCTCCATCCTTCTCCTTATGAACTTCAACTGGCATATTCTGGAAATGTGGATTTTTTAAGGGGCCACATTCTGAGACTGATGTTGATGGAAAGGGGCATGAGTTGCACCAATGGCTAACTGGTCCTTCTTTACCCATAATTGCAGTGCACTCTCAGAGAAGTAAGAACATAGAAAAACCTGTTTAACATTCTTCATATCCTAGCCCTTTCCCTATACTATCTCACTTCCTATTTCTGTGGTTTATGAAAAATTGCAGTAAATTGCTAATAAATTGCTTACGTCATTGTTGCTCCCGGGTCAGCAGTCATCTGGTTAGTTACAAACACAGCCACGTTATATTCTGCAGTGAAAACAAGGTCCAAGGGAAGATGATAAATATAAAGAGAAAATTCATTATGTTTCCTCCCAGAATGCTTTTAAGCATTTCTAGTAATAAATGATGAACAATGCTTATTAAAGTTCCCGTAATATTGAAAAATATTAACTGCGTTTTAAACAACTAGCACATTTTTGTTACATTTTATGGTGGAGTGGAGGTGTGAAATACATTTCCCACAACCAAACTTGACACTTATCTACTACACTATACTTGCTCTCCTGGCAGTATATTATTTGGTGAAAATGCCGGTGCTTAAAGAAGAAGAAGAAAGATAATAGCCTTGGGCTACACTAACAGTTATTTTTCAGTCATCTAAAAGCATGGTATTCTGCCTTACATGCTTCTCATACCTTCTGATATTTTTTGAAGCCTTGACAGCATCTGAGCAAGCTTCTGTTGCCT